ATATTTTTATACTACATTTATCCATTTTAAATACACTAACCTCACTCATTTGTAACAACTAAGGCAAAACTGTAATTAATTCAGAAAATGTTGTCAGGACCCCACCTTGATGTTTCGGGACCCCACTTTGGGAAACACTGGTATAGAACATACAGTAAATTTTTTGTGCACATTGCAATTTTAATGCAATTTTAGTTTGCATTGCGTTGACTTCATTTCAGGTTTATTACCATTATACTGTTTGCAAAATGGAGTCGAAAACAACGTTTTCATGACAGTTTGAATGTGACAAATCAGATTATTATTATTTTTTCATATCCAAGCCAATTGTTTTTGGTATGTGTTACTGAACCAGATGCATATCTAATGTTTAAAGTGACTTCAGTCTGAACGCTCGTGTCACATTTCATCTGACTTGTTTCAGTGAAGTGGAGGTAATCGGATCAATCCACTAACCTTAAGTCATGCTGTATAATCTTACAACTCCTCACATCTTTAACTACAGAACAGAAGTCCAGTTACTTGATTTTATTCTTTTAATTTTCCTAAAAGACTAATGATCCACAGGAACACCTATAAATGCCGTTGAGCTATCGCAGACCGTAGTAATCCTAGTTACTTGATCGATACTCAGTGATTGTGACATGCTTAAACAAAGACATCATTAGAAAGAAGAGCTACTGAGCCTTCATTCTGTGTACACAGAAACTTTTAATAGTAAATATTTCTCATAAAATACTTTAAAGTCCATCACTTTGCTGTGCGCCGCAGTTCTGTAGAAACGCCGGCACATTTTTGTGACGCATTCTGGGTAACCCAAAACGTAAACAACTATGGCGGAGTATACAGAAAGAGGGGACGTAGGAAGCAATTTCAGTGAAGAATTGAGCGATTTATCTTCAGTTTTGGAAGAAGAAGCCAGTTGGAGTGATGAACAAGAAGGAGCTGGTTCTACTGAAGGACTGCAGCCCTATTTATGAGCCGTATCAGCGATGGTGATTCTGATGTTTCTGAGGAGGAAGGGTCCGATGGTGAAGGGCTGGAGCTGGACCTTAGTCGCCTACAAAACACTGAATGGTGATGTGTTAAAAAGATCTATGTTTAAATTGTTCACCAAGAAAAAAAATCACTTTGAAGTTACTGTTTCAAGTGATGTTTGTTCCAACATATAATGTTCTGATCATTCACTAACCATCATTTCTGTTTCCAAGTCTTGAGTTTCATATTTCTGTTTATGTCAGCTGCACAGAATTTTCATGAAATAAATCTGTAATATATATATATATTTTTTTTTCCTAAATCTTGTTTTTATGTGACCCATCACATCAAACTGAAATTTAAGTCAAATTTTGTCTAAAAAAAACCACAGCACATTTTCAGATTCCTGCTTAGCCAAGTTTTAATACCTGGATCATCCTGGTATCATTCATTGTTCCAGAAACACACCTTAATTAGTTTAGATAATCATAATAACACATTAATACTTGATCTGATCCTACTTTTTGGTTAATCTAATGACGATAATCGTGTAAACTACATAGTATTTTTTAGTACAATTGAAAAGAGGAAATCTTAAATAGTGTTTTATAGGGGTGTAAGAAAATATCGATACACTGAAATATGGCGATATTTCATTTCCTGATACTGTATCGATATTCTAAARSCCYKTWTYKAWTTTTTTMTTAAGGTTTAAAATGTCAACTTTCCTGCCAGCCGTTCATTTTTATGTTGTAGTTCAGCCTCTGACCACTAGTTGGCAGCAGTGAGCCAGACATTTGGCTCCTCTACCTCTTGAGGTAGAGRCTATTGTTAAGTGTTGGGTGACCAAATTGTAAATTAATATTAAAAACTAAAAACTACAAAACATATATTTTCAAACTATTTATTGTCAAATTTAGTCTAATAATTGAAAACATGGATGAAATAAGAAACAAATAAAATAAAATACATACAAAGCAGAACACAGCTAAATGTATCAAAAGTATGTCTATGTAATATTAGAATTTTCTGAGACAATGAATTTTGGTTTTTCATTTTTCCCCCTGTACGAGGTTTTTATTTAATAGAATTTTTGAAAAAAAATCGCAATATATCGCCTTGCTTATAGTATCGCAATATATCAGGATATATCGTATCGTGACCCCTCTGCCATGATATGTATCGTATCACCAAATTCTTGCCAATACACAGCCCTAGTGTTTTAATGTTAACAATTCACTGCAAATAAGTCAAAGCTCTGCTAGATCATGAGGATAATATAAAATTATTTAGTTCTTATTTTTGTCGCTAATGATGAAAAAGAGCTAACATATACTTTTTAAAAAAATATTTCAAGACAGTTCATTCAAATTATACACTGATAAGGCATTTATTAATTATATATTTTTAAAATGCACTTATATGGAATCTAACTGGATATTAATCCAGATATGACTTTGGGACATTATCTTTAGTCTTATGTCATATGTTGCATATACTTGGCACGTTTTGGAACTGTTGCATAAACCTATACATTTTGATTCTGCTGTAACACCATAAATTCTCCTTTTGACATTGTTGGTTATTTCTGTTTATATTCTAAAGTAAAGTTATAACAAAATCTAAACAACTTTCACAAATATATTACAGAATCAACTGAAACATGTTTATTTTTCAGGTGTACCTGTAGATATTGCCGGGCAATGCCACTGGTTGTTGATTGCCAGTGTTGCAGAGAAATACCAGAAGTGCAAGAAGAAATACAGACAAAAGGCAAAGATGTGACATGTGTTACACAGCTGTGTAGCTTTGAGACATGTTGTCTCAATGTTGATGCATTAAGATTAGCAAACTTTGCCTTCATAGATCACTACAGGAGGCATGATGATCAGCATACTCAACAGCATGAGTAACAAACATTTTAACACAATAAAGAAATGACCATACACAAACGTTTACCCAAAACCAACATATCTATTTATTAAGCATGTGTAATCACCCTTTTTTGCAGAAAGTACCGGTACATAGCAGTGGTGGGCAGCGCTAATTCAAAAGTTAGCTCCGCAAATTTTAAACCGCTAATTATTTTCTTTAGTTCCGCATGTTCTAAAGCACACGTCATAAATATTATAGCAGAAGCTAAAAAGATTCGCAACATTGGCTCAGTTCACCAAAATATATAAATAATTACAGTAATAACATGAGCCATTTTTTTCACAACGCTGCCATCTAAAGGCAGAATGGGTTGTTTTCAACCCAACTCATATTATGTTGTGGTTTCAGGAAGTCATTTATACAAACAGACGTTTGATTCGTGGTGTTAATTTAAAATAAAACTTGTTGTGGACTGCAAGTTTTGCTGCTTCTTGGTCATTTATTTTTCTTATGTTTATGGCTTCRGTAAGAAAGCRWACAATATATTAGTTTTAAACTGTTTTTTGGAGAGCTGAAGCGATGCATTCTGGGTAAAGGACCAAGCGGAACCCGTCATTTCAAAATAAGAGCCTGAATTTAAACTGTGCCGTGTGTAGCTTCAATACGACGTGACGTGAGACAACGGGTTGATGGATGAAGATTCACCATGTCATAAATTATTAATGCCTCCCTCTACCCTCTCAAAGATAAAATAAGTATATAAACAACAATAATTATGGGTGGGTTGTTGGGAAAACTTTTATTTTTTTGTTAACGGTGGGAACAGGAAGAACCTGTGCTGAAAAATACTGGGTTTCAGTACCATCCCTAGTCAGAAAACATTATTTCATACCTACAGTGTTTATCATTAGTCTCTGTTAAGAAGAAGCAGCTGGAGAACTGAAGCCACAGCAGCTGCATTAGCTGTAGCATGAAGACTGAACCACTGATGTCCTGTGTGTGCTCCTCAGACATCTGGGCTCCCAGCTGTGTGAGCTGGAGAGGCTGATTGACAAGATGATGGTGGAGGACTTCAGTATGTACGCCCGCAGTGATCTGAACCGAAGTCTAAAGGAGGAGCTGCAGGTGCTTGAAAAGGTCAGAGCATTATTCATTCTGCGTGTTTTTTCTTATATGTTCACATAAGAAACTTCTCTATCAATTCCTATAAACCCAAATGAGGTAGGTTTTCAGAAAATCAAAAAGATGTGCATTTATTGTCACTAACCGTGCTTTACTTAAACTTTATATGTAAAGCAAAACTTTACAGTCGACACCATGGACTGTATCATATGCAGTTTACGTTCCACTGTCTCAGTACACAGTATTACTCATTATTATACTTGGTCAGGAAAAACAAGTCTGTTTGTGTGACGTTTGGGGCCATGGTCCTGGACCTCTGGGAGAAAGAATATCAGAAATACCTCTCTGAGGATCCTCTCTTTTTATATTTGTTTCAGATTATTAAAATTAACTCCAGTTATAGAGCAACTTCAACACATAAGGTTTGTCTCTGGTTTTATGACTTGAAGGTTTAAATCAACAGAAAATGCTGACAAAAACAGTCACATTTTATACTAATCTTGCCTACAGCAAAACTCTGATAAATGTACTTTTTCAAGAACAACTCTTAATTTACTTATGTATATACAGCAGGTAAAATAAGTACTGAACACGTCACCATTTTTCTCAGTAAATATATTACTAGAGGTGCTAATGACATGAAATTTTCACCAGATGTTGGTAACAACCCAAGTGATCCATACATGCTGAAGAAACAGCATGAAGAAACATAGTGATGCTTTCTGGTGATAATTCTTACAGCTCTTTTCTGTAAAACAAAAATTGGGTTTGTAATTGTTTTGCATGATTTTCCCCAAACATCAATACAGTAGATGAAGTGTGGAACAATTATTGCGTTATATAATAAAACAGACCTTTAATGATAAAGGTCTATTTTTAAATAAATCCTTTACTTTGTACCATACTGAGGTCTCCATGTTAGCTTTTCGTTCACCTCTGTCATTCATTACAGACGTGTAAACTAAACATATCTTGCGATGGTAGTCATATTGAAAAACAAACCCACAACAAAACTTACTGGATAACTTCACCCAGGCACCAACAAATTCCTACAAAGCTGCCTTTTTAGTAATGACTTGGTGAAGGGTCATATAAAACTGGAAGGTCTGACAGAGTTAGTGTTAGCTAACTGCAGTGTGTAGCATACCAGTACTCTCTGACCAGTGAGAACTGGTCAGTCGATGAAACCCTCAGTGATTGGTTGTACGCCAAGCGACAGCAACAAAAGTTGAACATTTTTCAAATTTCATATGTCGCGTCGCAAGCACACACGTGTACGTCTACGTGTACCAGCGTGAAATTTCACATGCACGATTTTCACCGGTCGCTTGGCTGGAGGAGGGTGAGTGATTGTCGTCTCATCGCACAAGCTCCACAGGAAATGAATGGAGAGCGAGTGATGTCACCTCCCGTGTGTCGAGCCCTTTAGTCCGACTGGGGTCTTTTTTCACTAAACACTGGTCCTACTAATCAGATTTAATTGTGACTATTTTTCAACAAGATACCTAATTAATTTGTATAGATTAAACAAGCCTTCAACTCTAAATGGTGTGAAAATAAAAGTTTTTTTGTTCCGTTTGAACCGTATGCCTGTGAAATTAAAGACTCAACCATCTGAGCTCAGATCAGTGTTTCAGAACTCAGTATTTTCTTTTTGCTTCTTTGCTTTATAAAGATTCTCAGTCATTCAGGACAGTTTCATCCAGGATGAATCTTTCAGGGTTTTTTTAAGGTAACTGGACATCCTTTCTTGATTTTTAACATTTTGCTTTTAATCAGAGGAAACTCTTGAATTCAAAACTGAAAAGTGAAAAGTGCATCTGGGGGTGGGGGTGTGGGTGTCAGGGTCTTTATTCCCATCCCGT